TATGGATCCATGCAACTTGTATCCTCGTAGGTTCAACTCCACAACTCTTTGATGCATGGGGTTGCACGTGATTCCATGCCAGTTGCAAAAATGGGTTGAACTATTTCAAGATACCAAGATTCCATATGGGTCATTGGATATTGATTCCTTGAATTTAAGCAACGCCAAATGATCGGTTTGGTTTCCTAATGCTGAGGCTACAACTTCGTTTGGGCAAAAGCCAAGCCAAAATGCCTTCAAAGTAAAGATAAGAAGCAAGTGAAGGCACATATAATGGAATTCAGGCATGGATAGAAAAAGGGCTTCATTTTGTTGAGTAGGAAGAGGGATACTAGATCTGGGTTTCTTATGCTTTTTGGGGTTTGATAAATGAAAACAACAAGCACATTCTTTCCTTCCTTTACTTTCAAGTTTAATTTTATATTAAACATGATCCATTCTTTCAGTAGTTAAGACAACTGCATTTGTTAGTTTAAAAATTTATATGGATCAACCTGTGTGACAGGCAAAAATAAATCAAAGATTCACATCCTAAGGCGTTAGATATGTGACTTATTATACGTTTCACATTTAGTGTATTTAAAATTCATCTTCAAATTTCCTTCAATCTTGATTCAAAGATAGGTCCACTCTCTTTTATTATATTTTGTCACATATCCTTCTATTTTTCAACAGCTTGAATGGTGTTTAGCTTTAAGGTTATAGATATGTAATACTAACAAGGATTTGTAGTTTTTATTTTTTATGAACAATCATGAATCATATTGTCATGTCAAATTAATTTAGCAATTTATACTAAAATTTAAATTGTTAAATGAATTAATTTGAAGATGCATAAGGTTTTAATTTCTTTATCTTCAACAAATAAAAGTTGGGCTTTAATCGCTTTGCAGTTCTCATTTTATCTCTGGACTAGTTTTGCTTACTAGTGAGTAAAGTTGTCATCAATTTTAATTTATTGCTTTTGGTAAAGGTCAATGGTCAATGCATGCTAGTCTTCTCCACCATGACTAGTGTCTTCTCCACCATGACTAGTGTTTTTTAGTTTTTGGCATTTATCCTTTATTTCACAATCGTTTCTGAAGACCAAAAATTTATGTTTACGCGTAATGCTAACTCTACAAGCTGATAATGGACTCATGATATTGACAAGCACTTTGGAATGGGTCAAAGTGGTACAAATTTAAAAGAAAAATGTAAACAATATACTTTTTATTCCAATTAAGATAATTAGTTAATTTTTAAAAAGGTTAAAGTAATGTTTAAAATAATGATTAATTCATGACATAAATGGTTTGATATTTTTAAAACTGACCGATTAGAATGTATTGCTAAAATCTGTCTAATCAAATAATGCCACCTGATCGAGGAAAAAGAAAAAAAAGAAAAAGAGAAGCATAGTTGAGAAGAGGAGGTAATTGAAGGGTAGATAGGTAGGTACACACATAGGGTGCAAAGATAGAGCGACATAATAAGGATTAGGATTCAAACCTGAAACCTTATCGTACGCAAAAATTACACTCAAGTTATAATAAAATAAGATACTAAATTATAATGTAAAAATATCTACAAAATTATAACAAATTTATTTATCAAAAATTTTAGTTTTAACTAGTAATTCTTGTGCATTACACGTATTTAATTATAAATTTTTTTAAATAAATTAAAATATTTTTTAATATACTTAAATTTAATTTTTAAAAATTGTAAATACTATAACTATTAAAAATAAATATTTTATTATATTAATTAAAATTAAATAAAGGTAAATTTTAAATTTAATAGAATATATATTTTTTAAATATTATAATTAATATTTAATTTTAAAAAATAAATACATAATATAGAAAAAACTACTTGACATGATAAAAATTGAATTAACTCCTAATAATACTTTTGTTTAAATTTTTTAAATTACTCTCAGAATGAACATTAGCTAGGGAAATTAATTAAATAAAAACAAAAATTTTAAATAAATTATAAAAACTTAATATAATATCAAATTAAAAAAACAAATGCTTGATATGAAAAAAAAATTCACTTGAAATGAAGGGAATCATACTTAACTCGTAAAAGTGCACTTAGTTAAGAAAACATATAAAAACACTATTAGTGAGAAGGAAGAATAGGTATGAAGACATAAGAAAAAGAGTTGATTTGGTTTGATAGTTTTGAGTGTTCTTCAACGTATATAGCGTTAAGAAGATGTTTATATGCCATCTTGACTTTCCATAATGACTATAGTCAAGTCATTTGATCTGGTCATAAAGTATAGACCAAGAAACATATCATTTTGAATTAACTTTTTCATTTTTCAATTATTTGATCACTTTCTCAATCAAGTGATTGATTATATGGAAATTTTATTCCTCATTAACTTGTTTCTTTTACATAGTCTGGGGTAAATTACATTTACAATAATATTAGGTTTAACAAAATTTATTTAGTAAAGTTAAAGATAATCTATGAAATAAAAAAAAAAGATTATATAAAAAATTGTTAAACCTTATTAGAAATGAGTGTGGTTTATTCTCTCTAATCTAACAAGATACAGAACGCCATCTCTTCCATCAATCGACCACCATGGACACGGAGTCAACGACCTTGTCTTCTTCCTCCAAAGTTGCCTTAGTGAAGTTCACTATGTTTAGTCATGCCTTAGTGAAGTTCACTATGTTTAGTCATGCAAAGTAAATTTAGAAACCATGACTCAATCTCCATGGTTTAATGATTACTAATGCAGTGGAAGAAGTCAAATATATAGTCATGAAAATTTGGAAATCTTTAATCCATCGTTAACATCAATTTTAAGTCCATTCATCTTCTCTTACAACCATCCTGTGGCATTATTTTAATTTAATTTGTTTTCTTGAGTCTTATTTTATTTTAATCTAAGTTAGTGTAATTAATTAAAAAATTTAATATAAAGATGTTATTACTTAGAATGCAATATATTGTTCAATTATTAATATTTTGTAGTTGGTTTGTAAAGGGTTTAGAAGAGTAATTACAATTGGATCTAAAGGAAAGAAGTTGAAATACTGCAGAACCTATTTGTAAGTACATGCATAGTTAATCTAATTGTGAGAACACGAGCGTGACAGAATATATAAAAATAGAATTTTTTATGAAAAGCAACACATTTTTCTTTCACTATTCAGACACATAATTTTAAGTTTTTTATATGTCTTTTATTTACGGATGTTATTCATTTCTTTTCTTCTTTATGAGATTTTGATGGGAAGTAGGTTTATATTCCTTCATTCTCTTTACTCTTTAATGGAACAATGATTTTTTACAGTTTACATTTCTTGTAATTTCTTTTCAATTAAACATGAAGTTTATTTTTACAATATATTTCAGTTTCTTCTCTTTTACTTCTACATGTCTTGTTGATTTTATTGAGGTTGAGGACGGGTGAACTTAATTCTTAACTCATTGGGATAATTTGAATGTGAGATATAACTTAGCTTAACTTCTATTCTAATGTATTTAATCATAAACTTAGTGCCTTTCTGTTTCTTAGCATTTAGAGTCGACAAAAGAAATCTTCTAGTTGAAAAATTAAAATTATTTTTGAAAATGGATTAAATCACTCATTATGGATTACTTTGGAATAGAAATCTTTAAAGTGTGATTGCTTTGATTTCTAAACTTAGCGCTAATATGCTATTGATTACTTAAGGAATTAAGAATTAAGAGTTGATTTAAAACCATTAATCAAGTAATTGATATTAGGTATCATAAAAATTTGACCATTAAAATAGTTGTATTATGAGTTATACATACTTTTTACAATGAAAAAGAATTAAGGAATCCTAACTCAACCCTTTTCTATATTAATTGTTAACTTATTTAGTGAATCCATACCCATTTTGATTCTACAATTTATTTAGTTTATTACACTTAGTTTTATTCTCACATTAAAGTAATTCAACAGAGTTTAAGTTAATTTTAGTTACTGCATAATATTTAATTTTTGTATTGAACTCCTACTTTATCACTCAACTAGCGATATTCTTATGGTTTGATAATTAACATTAATCCCAGTAGATAATAAAATTTAATTGTTATTGCAAACGATTTGATACACTTGTCAATTTGTTTATCACTTGTTTATGACTTTTATTTTTTATTTAATAAACTTCACATAAGCTTTAATTTATTAATTTAATAAATATATTTATACTAAAAAGTAAAGTAAAATAATAATAAAATTAGTTTATATAAAATTATTTAAGATTAAAAATCTTTAATTATAAAAACAATAGTATTTTTAAAATATATTAATAATTATTTAAAATTAAATATAAATATTATACATATATAATGACTCAAATGATAATTGATGATTATTGTGAGAATAAAAAAAAAACAGATAAATTTTATATAAATAATTAAGATTAAAAGAAAAAAATTTGATTTTTTTTTTCATTTATATGGTTCAAATTATATAATCGGTCCAAATGACTCTTAAAATCAGATGATATTAAATTAGTTTATATTGGAAAAAATTTGACTAAATTAATGGGAATCAAAAGATGATTAGTTTTAAGCAAATTTTTCTTGTATGTTCGAAAATGTAACGGTGTAGGTCAATTTTATAAAAAAAATTAATTCAAATTGAATATAAAAATAATATGTGATAAATTAAAATAAAATATTAAAATTGAAGTAAATTGAATTGATATTTTACAATTTAATTTAGTTCAGTTTAACTGTAAAGTAAAGAAGCGTGACTCATAAAGGTTGAAAACCTAAGTGAATTTGTTGGAGAAAAGGAATAAAAAAGAGAGACATTAATCAAAAGGATCAAATGGATTGGTGTTTGCAATCTTTTGTATAATCAGCTAATTGCAATTGTGGAAGTAAAATAAGTTTATTTATTGGATAGAGCAATAAATCCATCAGTATATGATATATATTACATGGAGGATGGAAGATTTATTGGTAGTACATTATACTGCATATACTCCTGTTTCCAAAATCACTCTGCCATTTTACTTCAGCTTTAAATCTTCACGGTGCAACATCTGAAATTCGACAACAATTCCATTAAATCTGTAGTTTTAGAATTTTGATCACACAAAATCAAATTATAAGTAACAATTCAAGCTGGTGGCATAAGCAATTAGGCATGTTAAAAACTCAATTTTACTGTTTTTTAATGTTGAGAGGAAAAGTTCATGTACTTGTGAAATAATTCATAAATAAAACAAAGTTCAAAAGGATAAATTACATATACATGGAACTGCTATCATAATTTGAAAATAGTGTGAAAGTATTACTTTATTTTATTTTAAAACAAAACAACTATTCAGAACAATAACCATTTTGTGTCCTGTAGTGTGTGGAGAATTAAGTAGATCCCCATTTATCTTACCAACAAGAAAGGCTTTTCTGATTCGATTAAGGTCCCTGGCGACATCAACCATATCCATTCTTTCTTTTGGTGATTCCATAGAACAAGCAAGTCCAATCTTAAATAGTGAAATTAAGCACTTCTCAAAATGTGGATTAAGATTCCTGTTGTTTCCTTCCAATCTTGTTGCTTCAGTTAGTGGAATAAGTTGTGGATCCAAAATCCGCAAAAGATTATTAGGAAATGAAATTTCAACAAAGTTATGAAGATTTCGACCATCTTCAAACATTTCTTCCGTGGGTCTTCTTCCAGTAAGCATTTCCAACATAAGAATCCCAAAGCTGTACATGTCACCATATGTTGACACCTCAGAACCCACTCCATACTCTAAAACATATAGCAAGGATTTTCAATACTCAATATCTAGTTAATTAATAACAATTTGATTCCAAAAGATAGGAGAATTCAAAGAAACATTAAACGACTCAAGAGTTAATAAACATACCAGGAGGAGCATAGCCAATAGTACCCTTTATTCCAATAGTACTAGTTTGCTTTTGTGAAGTACCATTAATGGTTGAGATAAGTCTTGCTATGCCAAAATCACTCACATGAGCAATCAATTCTTCATCAAGAAGGATATTGCTAGGCTTTAAATCACAATGAATGATCGGTTGCTCGCATTCATGATGAAGATAATGTAATGCAGAAGCAACATCAATAATGATATTTAGTCTTTGATCAAAATTTAATGTTCTTAGATGCTCCACACTTATTGTCTGAGGATGCAGCCATTGTTCTAAGCTTCCGTTTTCCATGTACTCAAAGACAAGAGCTTTAAATTCCTCACCTTTGTGATCTATACTTGAACAACATGTCAAAATCTTGGCCAGATTTCGGTGCTTAATATTCTTGAGTGCATTACATTCAGCAATGAAAGTCTTGTGCGCTCCCTTCTTTTGAAGGTTTAAGACTTTTATGGCAACAACTTTATCTTCTGTCAAGAGAGTTCCTTTGTACACAGAGCCAAAATTTCCTGATCCAATCAAGTTTCTAGCCGAGAATCCATCGGTTCCATGTTGTAGGTCTTGGTATGAAACCTTAGCCAACTGATTAATTGTTGGTGAATTACATGATGGTTTCTTGTGTGGCCTTCTAATCCAATAGATAGTTAAAATAAATGATAGCATGAAAAGAAAAATGACCACACAAACTATCATGACTACTAACTTGGAATTGTGGTGCACTGAATGTTCTCTATCCTTGACAGGACATGATTGTAGATGCAGCTTTGGAATACCGCCACAAAGCTTACTATTTCCAGTCACCAAAAATCCACTTGCATTTCGAAAGACACCGTCTATTGGAACTTCACCATCCAACAAGTTGAAAGAAACATTCAAGTATACTAAAACAGAAATATTCTGTAGAGCATTAGGAATTGGACCTGACAACTGATTTCGTGATAAGTCTAAATATTGAAGGCCTTTGAGTGAAGCTAAAGAGGATGGCATGATACCATGGAAAGAGTTCCCTTGCAAATGAAGGTACTCTAAGCTTGTGCATTCTCCAATGGCTGTAGGAATGTCACCAGACAGATGATTCTCAGAGACATCTAGCTCTTCAATATTTCGCAGCATTCCTACTTCTTCTGGTAGACTACCACTCAAAGAGTTTTTGGACAGGTCCAATAGGTTTGTTAAGGAGGAAAGACTGAAAACTTCCAAGGGAATAGCTCCTATAAGATGGTTGTTTGAAAGATTTAAGTATTGTAACACTCGGCAATTTCCAATACTTGGAGGGATAGTTCCTTCAAATAAGTTTTGTGATAAATCCAACGCAAACAACTGACTCAAGTTGCCTATGAAGGTTGGTATATCTCCTGACAGTTTGTTTATGGATAAACTTAGCAATTGCATATTTTTAAACTTCCCAAAAGTGGTTGGAATAACCCCTTCAAAGTGGTTAAATTCCATGGTCAAGAGAGATAAGTTAGTAAGATTTCCTAACTCCGCAGGAACTTTTCCTACAAACTGATTTACCCCCAGATATAGTTCTCTGAATTCGGTGGAAAAATTGCCCAATGAGATTGGCAAATGGCCTCCAAAGTTATTTATGGATATAGATAACACTTGCAACTTCCTACAGTTTGTCAAGGATTTTAAGAATTCCAAATCCTTGGTTGAATTGTCACCTAGATTGTTTTCTGACAAACTTACAGCCCATAGATCTTTTAGCTTCCCTAGACTTGGAACTTGACCAGCGAAATAATTTGAAGCAATATCTAGTATTTGAAGGGTAGTTGCATTTATGATGGAGGTTGGGATTGAACCCGAAAATTGATTACCAGCAATGGCAAATTCTTGGAGATTGGAGAAGTTGATGAACATGTGGGGAGGGAAAGAGCCATTAAATTGATTCCTTGCAGCTGCAATTACACGAAGAGATGACATGTTATAAAGACAAGAAGGAAATGTACCATATAGTTTGTTGACACCCACTGAAATGAACATCAATTTTTTCATGTGGCATATTTCTTGTGGAAGAGTTCCCTCCAAGTTATTATAAGGCATCGAAATTTGAACAAGGGATGATAGATTCCCAACAGATGGTGGGATTTGGCCTGTTAAATTGTTGTTATGCATGAACAAATTATGAAGCTTTCCAAGAGAGCCGATTTGGATTGGTATTTTCCCAATCAATTTGTTCCCTGCCAAATCTAACCGTACGAGCCTAGTGCACCTTGTCAAGTTGGTTGGAAATTCCCCAACCAATGAGTTATTGATGAGAACAAGTACCTGTAGTTGTACTAAACGACCCAATTCTTGTGGAATGTTACCATAAAAGGTGTTGTTGCCAAGGTTGAGTCTTGTCATTGAAGAGAGATTGCCCAGATAAGGAGATATGACTCCACGTAACTTACACCCTTGTAAGTTCAACTTGACAACTCTTTCTTGCATGGGGTTGCACCTGATTCCATGCCATTTGCAGAAGTGGGTTGAACTATTCCACGAGGCCAAGATTCCATATGGGTCATTGGGTATTGATGCCTTGAATTTGAGCAATGCTGAATGATCAATCTGGCTCTCTAGTGTCAAGGCCACAATTCTGTTTGGGCCAAACCACAAGTTTAAAGTAAAGAGAAGCAGCAGATGAATGTATATATGACAAAATAAAGGTAACAAAAAAGAAAAGGGCTTCATTTGGTTGAGGAATGAGGACAGAAAGATTCTTATGTTAGATAACAATATTGTTGTTGGATAATAGAGTGCCAACATATAAGCACACTCCTTATGTTTCTCTATGGACTTAAATACCAGAAGCAACATATGGTGCGATTTGTAATTTTGGTTACCCTCACCCTAAAACAAGAACATCGCCATCAGAAGTCAAATTAATGATTATATAACAGCAAGAAGCATGTCGAGTGGAAGCCAAAGAAAATCCACATTCCTAAGTGGTAGACCTTTCAAAGATTTGATCAAGATTTGATCACTTTCTACGAAAGTGGAAGGCAACTTGTTAGAATGGTAAGAAATTTTATTCCAAACTCAACAATTTTCGTATAGTCCAAGCTTTTTCCCACAATCCACTTGCTAATCCTATACCTTTTTTCCTTTCTCCTTGAACGTGATGGATGTGTCGCTGTAGGCTAAAGAAACATAATATTATAATTAGGATATGTAGTTTTCAATTTTTTTACACACTTTTTTATGATGTGTATTTTAATTGATCAGTCTTGCAAAAAACCAGTTTTTCTTTCCTAACATGGTAGTGGCTTTTTCTATTTTTCTTAAAAGCTTCAATTTTGCATAACTAATAAATTTGGAAACTAAATTGTACAGTAATACTTCTCGGGACCAATCCATTTTCAAATAGGACAAACATATAAGCAAATTAATGCCTTTATTGATTAAATTTTACAAATCATCACTTTCAAGGATTAATTGTTTTTAATTTTTATAATTGCAGTACTAAATTTTCATCTCATATCTAACTTGCTTTTGTTAGTATAATTTTTAAATAAGCATTTAGTTAAATAATTAAAATAAACATGTTGAAATACTAGTTGCGGTTACATAAAATTAGCCAGATTTTTTCTTTCTTTCTTTTTAATATATGATTTTTTCTCATGCTTTGGTCAATTTATACACGCCTACTAGTAAAATCCACCAAACATTATATGCATAACAGCAGCGGCCAAGATAGAAGTAAATACCTATACTTATGAATGGAAAGCAAAGTTTTGAAAACACTAACTCAATTTCACTGAAATTAGACTGTTCGATCACTTGTTTGCTAATGTAATAGTTAACGAAAGAAGTCAAACGTGTGGTTGTCAGAATAATGTTAATAATTCATTTTAACCAGTTTTCAATTTATTATTCAGTTAACTAGCTTAATTTGTGGTGATTTTGAAATGAAAATAAGAATTTGAGGGGCTGTTTAATTAGTTTTAGAAATATTTTTATTTTATCTTTTAATTATAAAATTTTACTATTTTATTTTTAAAGATTTATATAAAAATAGTAAAAAATTATTCTATTCAAAAACAAGAAATTAATGAGAATATTTTGTTGTAATACATAGTTTCTTGCTTTGATACATGTTGATAATACAATATAATATCATCCATATTACAAGCATAACAAGCATATATCGGAAGCAAGAATCAAATGAGCAAATAAAGATGCGTAAATAGAAGAACATCAAGTATCAACTTGAACATATTATCTTATGATTGTAATGCGATTAGCATCCATTACTTCTCATAAGGAAAGAAACTTTTGATTTGATTAAGCTCCTTAGTGACATCATTCATGCTCATTCTTTCCTTTGGCGAATTCAGTGAACAGGCAATTGCAAACTCAAAAAGTGAAACCAAACATTTCTCTACTTTAGGATGCACAAGGCCAAGATTTTTATTGCCTAATTTTGATTCATTATGGATAATAGTTGGGTCCACAATCTGCCAAACGTGATTTGGAGTTGAACTTTTAACATGATTATGGAGATTATAACCATCCCTAAAAATGTCATCTGAGGGTCTCCTTCCAGTTAACATTTCTAAAATCAGAATTCCGAAGCTATACATGTCACCTTCAACCAACACCTCCGAACCCGTTCCATACTCTGAAATATAATGCAACAAACAATTAATCACCTTAAAGTTATCATGAAATTATTAACCAAAAAGAAAATAGAAAGTTTAGAAATAAGACCTAACACTTGAAACTAAAATATTTCACAACTTAATTTAATCAAGCATGCTATACCTGGAGGAGCATAACCAATAGTTCCCTTTATTCCAACTGTTCTACTTTCCGTCAAAGAGACTCCAATACTTGAGAGGAATCTTGATAATCTAAAATCAGTCACGTCAGCTACCATGCAATCATCCAGAAGAACATTTCTAGGCTTTAAATCACAATGAATGACAACTTTTTCACATTCATAGTGAAGATAATGAAATGCTGAAGCAATATTGTTATGAAACCAGATAAATGGAGAAAGAATGCGTAATATCATTTCATTACATTTGTTGAATATATATTGCAATAGATTTTAACAAAAGCTGTTTAATAAGACAGGACAAAATAAGGAGCAACACTTCTTTCTACCTAAATCTGACCACGTCAACTACTCTTCCTCAAATTAAGCATTAACCCATACTCTTACCTAACAAAAACAAAACAAAAATATATTCTAATCTTAAAGTATTCTAGAAAAATCTCAATTCCTAACACTCCTCCTTCATATTTTTCTTGGATACTCCAAGCTTTGACCTCAATACTTCAAACTTGTCCTTGGAGAGAGCTTTGGTCATGACATCTGCAATCTGTTTCTCTGAGCTACAGTGCTCCAAGCTTACTTCCTTTGATTTCACTACTTCTCTAATGGCATGATACTTTACCTTGATGTGCTTAGTTCTACCATGATAGACAGGATTATTTGCAATCTCAATGGTTGACTTATTATCAACCCATATTACAGTAGCCTCATTTTGTATTTGCCCCACATCATACAACATTTTTCTAAGCCAAATGGCTTGATTTACAGCTGCTGCAGCTGAAATATACTCAGCTTCAGCTGAAGATTGAGCCACTGCATCTTGTTTCTTTGAATTCCAACTGAAAACTCCACTGCCAAAAGAGAAAACATAAACTGAGGTACTCTTGGCATTATCTTCACTTCCTGCCCAGTCACTATCTGCTTATCTTTCAAGATCAACACTTTTATCTTTGAGAAATCACAAACCATAATCAGTTGTACCTCTTATGTACCTCAATACTCATTTTGCTGCTTTGTAATGAGCTTCACTAGGTGAATGAATAAATCTGGATAATAAACTTGCAGCAAACGTTATGTCTAGTTTAGTGGCTGAAAGATACAATAGACTTCCAATTAAGCTTCTATAAACAGAAGCATCTGCTTTACCAATAGAATCATGAAGAGACAACTTCTCATTTGCAACCAAAGGTGTGGTCACTGGTTTACATTTCTCCATATGAAACTTCTTCAACACCTCCAAAGCATATCTTCTTTGTGAAATAAAGATTCTTGCATTGCATTGATAAATCTCCATTCCAAGAAAATAATTCATTTCTCCCAAATCTGTCATTTCAAATTCATTCTCCATATCATGCTTGAATTGTCTAAGGGAATCAGAATCACTCCCTATGACCAGCATATCATCAACATACAATGATATAATGAGTTGCACTTCATTCCATGACTTCTTTACATACAAAGTGGCTTCATTTTCACTTCTTTCAAAGCCTTTGTGCAAAAAGTAATTGTCAATTCTGGTATACCAGGCCCTTGGTGCCTGTTTCAATCCATAAAGAGATTTATGGAGTTTGTAGACTTTATTTTCACTGCCCTTAACTTGAAAACCTTCAGGTTGATCAACATAGATGTCTTCTTCAAGCAAACCATTTAAAAAAGTTGACTTCACATCAAAATGATAGATCTTCCAACCCAATTTTACTGCCAATGCCACTAGCATTCTGATTGTATCATGTCTTGTCACAGGAGCAAAAGTATCTGAAAAATCAACTCCATGTTGTTGATGATAGCCTTTAACAACCAATCTAGCTTTAAGTTTGTTTACAGAACCATCAGAATTAAATTTGATTCTATAAACCCACTTAAGACTAATCACCTTTTGATTAGTTGGTCTATCCACAAGCTGCCATGTCTTGTTTTTCTCAATCATTTTCATCCCCTCCTCCATAGCAACTCTCCAACCTTCTAGTTCAGCAGCTTCAACATAACCTTTCAGTTCTAGTGCAGCAACATTACATCTCTCATAAATTTCAGCTAGATTTCTAGTGCCTCTAACCGGAAAATTTTCATCATCCTCCAAATCTTCTTCTTCAATTTCTGAATTTTGTTCTTAGACACTGTCTGCTCCAAGTTGCCTTTTGCTTGAAGCTTATGCTTTGCTTTTCTCCTAGTTCCATCTAGATAACTCATTAAACTTAACATTTCTGCAGACAAGAATTTTCTTTGTTGCTGGATTATATATTCTATAACCTTTGGAATTACTGCTATACCTTAAGAAAACACTAACTTCTGACTTATGATCCAACTTATCTCTTTTAACCTTTGGAACAAAAGCATAACATACACAGCCAAATACTTTGAGATGCTCCACCAAAGGCTTCCTTCCATACCATGCTTCAAAAGGTGTTTTACCTTTCAAGGCTTTGGTAGATAACATATTCAGCAAGTATACTAAGGTGTTAACAGCCTCAGCCCAAAAGGTTTTAGGAAGACCTTTTTCAAACAACAAACACCTTGACATCCCCATAATTGTCTTGTTCTTCCTTTCACTCACTCTATTTTGTTGAGGAGTGTAAGGAACAGTTAATTGATGCTGAATTCTAACATCCTCACAGAAATTCTAAAACTCCCTTGCTGTATACTCAATTCCATTATCAGATCTGAGCTTTTTAATTTTGCATTCAGCCTCATTTTCAACCATTAGCTTGAACTTCTGAAAAACAATAAACACTTTTGACTTTTGCTTTAGAAAAAACACCCAACTCATTCTTGTAAAGTCATCAATAAATAGCAGAAAGTATTTGCTGCCATTTAAAGATGTTGTACTCATAGGGCCACACACATCAGTGTGTATAAGTTGCAATTTTTCAGTAGCTCTCCAACTTGCTTCAGTAGGAAATGGCATTTTGCTTTG